TTGCTATTGCTATTGCTATTCCTTGCAGTCATCTGGTCATTGGCACTCTTTTTGAGAGTCATTGAGGCCACTTGGAGGTTTATCTGTGCCCTCAGGGTCACCTGAGTAGGGTGTGGAGCCTTCTTGGAACTACTGAAAGTATTGGAAACAGGAGAAATAGATGGTGTCACATCCCTTTCCCACGGTAGAGGGAGGACTGCTCAATTTTAACGTAAATGGCCTCCTTGACTCTTCTTCTTTCAAACCAGCGGTCCTCTCTGTCCAGAATGTGAAGTTTGCTATCCTCATTTGTCTTTCAAATGAGATGGACGGCTAAATCTTGTCCAGATGGGTTTGTTCTCCTATGTTGTGTCATGCGTTTGTGAAGTGGTGGTTTTGTTCCTCCAGTGTACAGATCTGCAGATGACCTAGATGACTGAGAATCTCCATTGACTCTTAAGACTAGTACAATCTACCCCAATCAGTCCCACATATGCAGATCTCAACCGAACCGTTTTGTTTAAGGGCTGTGCTGTGTTAAATGTTATTTTCAGGTTCTGGCCGCACATAAGGCGAGTTGCTTTGATATGGGGATCCCAATGGGTCATTCATTTGCTATATGGACCAAGGTACCTGTCTCTCACCCCCTTATTCAAGCAACAGTCAAATAGGATGTGAGCCAGGTCTTCTACCTCTGCTGCTTCGCAAACGCAGAGACGCTCATTGTAGGGTATAGAATGGAATCTTCCCATATCTGACCATTGTGTCAAGCTGTTCGAATCTTGCTCACGTAAATACCTCCCTAAGCAGGGGTGGGTTCTACTTACCTTCACTACCGGTTCGCAACAGGAGCATACGCAGATCATTCATTATGACGTCCGGTCGGGTGGGCAGAACGTCCCACCGCTTTTACTACCGGTTCGCAAGAACCGGACAGAACCAGGAGCAACCCACCATTGTCCTTAAGATGTTTTTGTTGTGACCCAGGCCCAAGTAGGTATTATCAGACGCAATCAGTTCCAAAACAAACAGACTTTATTAGAACAGCTGAGAATTAACTCATTCTCAGCGTAGTCCAAACTAATTCAAAACAAATTCTTCATAATACAGTTTTTCAGCCTTATCACCAACTTTGGTCTAATTAGGCAACCTGCCAAAGGCTTTTCTTGGCAAAAGTTCAGAAGCAGAAGACGCCGACAAGAAATAAATGCAGCAAGACAAGAAACAAATCTGTCAATGTTGTTTTCCGACAAGAGGCCAAGAGCCGTTGCTGGTCTTTTAAGCCTTATGGGAGGGGCCAATCACCTCTTGGCCTTACTCCTGAGTCGTCCTCTTTGCTTTAGCTGCTCTTGCCTTCTGGCAGCTCTTCTCATACGTGCTCTAGAAACAGGCTCCTCCTTTTCCTCTACCTCTCTACTGTCAGTCTCTGGAGACTCCGGAGTCCGCACATCACTCCCCGATGGCCCTGGCCCCATCTCTGCCTCCGACGCAGAGCCCTCATCTGGGCCTTCCCCAGCCTCCAGGACTGGCCCATGTTCTTCCTCAGCCTCCTCTCTGTCCGACTCCGCTGCCAGCTCCGCAGGCTGCTGGCAGACCATAACAGTTTTGGCAGTTGTAACTTCAAATAGTTGTCTACTTGAGAAGTACGTTTGTATTTGCTCAGCCATTTCAAGTTACCCACCTTAATAAGGATAGCTATTTTAAATAGTTCTAAAGAAGTTTTCCAAGAGATAACTATAAAAAATTAAGGACCACCGTAACGGCCCCTCCTTATTCTTGGATATTACATGGAGGGGAAAGGAGAAATGCCAGCTTGAGTCAGAGTCTTCCTATCTTCATGCTGAATTCCTATAAATCTTTAACGTTCCCCCATGCCAGTTTTGCATGTCACGCTAAATCTGCAGTGACATCCATCTGTTAAAAGGAATTAGCAACCTCTCGCTTCCTAAAACCGTTTCTCCCTTTGACCTGAAGGAGAGAGACTTCGGAAGTCTTCTTCCCCCTCCATCCCTCCAAATGTTTAGCACAGAAAAAAAACAAATAATGCAGATTAAAACCAGGTTCAGTGGCTGGGGAATTCTGGGAGTTGAAGTCCACAGGTCTTAAAAATTGCTGAGACGGAGGAACATTGCCACCATCAATTAGGGAAGAGCCGGTGTGAGGTTTGTTTTTTTTCCTTGGGCTTTTGGTGTTAGCCAGGTTTTAAAGCATGCCTTTGTTTATATAACTATCGCCGCCTCCGGCTAACTTCTACAAGGTCATCTGCGCAGCTGCCAGCAGAAAGCCGCCGGAAATGCAGTTCTGCAAATTGTTAAAGAAAAAAAAAAAACCTTTCCTTAAGCTGGTCTACCAGCCCTTTGCCTTTTCCCTTGGGCTTCTTTCCAGAGATTTCTTGCTTCTAATATACTGTCATGCCAGAGGAACTTGGAAACTAAATTGGAAGAGACTTGTATGAATGGCGGCGCTCTAGTTTGTGCCAATATAAGCAGGGGTGGGCTTCAAAATTTTTTGCAAGGGGTTCCCTGCCCGGTTGCTGGATGGCCGTGGCCATGGTGGGCGTGGCCTAGTTGACCTCCTGCACCACAGCGGGAGGCGGGGAGTTTTTGCCCTCCCCGGGCTCCGGAGGCTTTTCTCAAGCCTCTGGCAGGGTGAAAATGGCCTCCCCAGGCTCCGGAGGCCCTCTGGAGGCCAGAAACGGTCCCATTTCCACCCTTCCTGAATTTCCAGTAAACTCGTTTTTCGCCCTCCCGGAGCCTCCATGCGCGCCCTGCACTTACCTGCATCCAAAACGGGTCGCGTGGGGACTCCTGGGAGGAGTGTTGCGGGGTGGGTGGGGCCAGCCAATGGGATTTGGGGGTTCTCTGGACTGCACAGAAACTTAGCTAGAGGTTCTCCCGAACACCTGCGAACCCCCAGCAGCCCACCCAGCCCACCAGTTTAGACCGCTTTCAGAAGGGACTAGGCAAGTTCTCAAAACTAAGTTATCAATGGGTCTGTCAGGTTTCGATGTCGTCTCAAATAAAATAAATTGCATTTCCAAACAAATAGTCTTTGAAGAAATCTTTCATTTTATTAAGCACGACAACCTGTCCCCGATTGTGGCATAGCCAACGCTGACTTCCTGACCCCAAACCTTCCCTTTCCATTCCCCAATTCTCTGCATCTCATTGGCCCTCTTCCAAATCACTCTCCCCATATCTACTACTTCAGCTCCCAGGAGTGTCCCTCCTCCCATCTCATCTCCTAGGGGATATTATCTTCAGGGAAAATAAGTAGGTGAGAGGTCAAGCGTCCTCCTGCCAGCTGCCCCCCTCTTCTCCTTCTTATGTCAGCACTAGAGTAAATGCAGGTTGAAGTGGTGACAGGGTCCTTGTCTTTCAGCCATAGAAATAGGCAGACACCCCCTAGCCCATGCTTCTGAGCACATCTGCTCAGCAGCTGGATCCGACAGAACACCTAACTAGAGCAATTGGTAATATCTTGTAACCTGATGCTGGTAGATTTATTCAAGATGTTCTGAATGGAAAACATTTCTGAGCATTCCACCTTAGTTCAGACTGTTGAATTAGCCCAGGGCAGGTTGTTTCAAACCACAGCGAAAAATGTGTGCCCCCATGTTGTTTCAACTCATCTGAAAGAGTTCCAAACTCAACATGCATCCAATGAGATTGGAGCAGCTGTTTTTAACCCCAAGCACTGCTCTGAGCTTGTAATGTTTCGAAAGTGGAAACGTGTTGCATGCCATTGAGTTCTGAACCTGTTTCCTATGTGGGAACCGTCAGGCAGAAGAATCAGGATTATCTGTTAAATTCCCGTTAAGCTGATTTATTGCTCATGCCTCTATACAAGAATCTAGTCAAATAATGGTCACACTAAATTGCTGCTACATAAGAGTCAACGGAATTCAAGAAGTGTTGTACTTAGACTGCTTGTGGGAATGTAATGATGCCAGGCTGATACCTCTCTTGACTCCACCCTCAGGCTCTGCCTGTCCTTCTACATGTCTAGAATACCCATGACCTTCTAGCGCAAGGGTGTCAAACTCAAGACTTAGATTGAGTTTAGGTGCTTAGATCTTGCCCGCGGGGCTGCCTTGGAAACAGCGAAGGACCGACCTGTGGTGCCTCTGCCAGTGGAAATGGAGGGGCCCCCCCACTCCATTTTCACTGGGAGAGGGCTAGACAAATGAACTAAAAACAAAAGAAAAGGAGAAACGTTTCTTCCCCTTTTGCATTTGAGCTTGCAAGCAGGGACAGGGAAAGAGACAGGGAAAAAGGAAAGACAAAGAAAAAAGAAGCGAAGATGGGAAAAGAGCAAGGAAGGAAAAAGAAGGAAAGAGGGGAAGGAAGACGGAAGGAGAATGAAGAGGGAAGGAAAAAAGAAGGAAGGAAGGAGAAAGAGGAAAGACAAAGAAAAAGAAGGGAAGATGGGAATAGAGCAAGGAAGGAAAAAGAAGGAAAGGGGAAGGAAGACGAAACGAGAATGAAGCGGGAAGGAAAAATGAGAAGGAAGGAAGGAGAAAGAGGAAAGACAAAGAAAAAGAAGGGAAGATGGGAATACAGCAAGGAAGGAAAAAGAAGGAAAGAGGGGAAGGAAGACGAAAGGAGAATGAAGAGGGAAGGAAAAAGAAGGGAAGGCAGGAAAGAAGGTTATAATTAGAGGGAGGGAGGCTTTGAGCAAAGTCCTGTCTTAGCACTTGGCCACCACAAAGTGACATTGAGCTGGCCATGCCACCCACTCGCCCCCGAGGTCAAACTCAACCCTGATACGGCCCTCAATGAAATCGAGTTTGACCCCCCCCTGCTCCAGCTGTTGTTGAATGACGACTCCCAATGCCCAATATTGGTTGGAAGTTGCCATTCAGAACATCTGGACTTCTGTAGGCCTGCCTGGGCCCGTGATTGCCCCTTCGTCTCCAGGGCAGCCCTTTTGCTTGTACAAGGACACGCAAATGTTAGCGTTACGATTTAACTTGCCAAGCTGGGCGAATTCAGGGCTTCTCTCCTCGCTTTCCTTTTCAGGATGCCAAGTTCGTGGAGGAACGGCGGAAGCAGTTGCAAAACTACTTGAGAAACGTGATGAACAAAGTCATTCAGTCTCTGCCGGAATTCATTGCCAACCCCAAAAAAGAGACTCTCATCCAACTGATGCCCTTTTTCGTGTAAGTATCTCTCGAGAAAGGATTGATGGTTTAATGGGCCGTCGAGTGGTATTTTTCTTTCTTCTGTAATTTATAAAAGGTGGGGGGAAAACAAAACAAAACCTGAAGGAGGACTCGTGTGAGGTTGTCACAACTTGGCGTGTGATTTTAAGAAGCATCTTTCAGCCAGCACAAAAAAGGTTTAAATGTTTTTGGGGGGTTTTTTTTGAGAGAGAGAAGAGGGAGCTTAAAAACAACAACAATAGAACTACTTCGTTGGAAGTGGGATTGGATTGCATTGATAGCGGTACATAGATCTTTAGCGATGAATAGAAGTGTAAAAGAGGAGAAAAATAGCTCTCCGTTTGGGGCAGGGGTCGGCAACAATTACCATCGTTAGACAATTGACTACCCGCATACTGTAGCCAGGGTTGGGATTCAGCCAGTTCGGACCGGTTCGCGTGAACCGGATGCTAATTTTACATCTGGTTCGCCGAACCGGTAGTTGCAAGAACTGGCTGGCCCCGCCCACCCCACCCCGCCCCTCCCAGGAGTCTCCACGCAGCCCTTTTTGGATGCGAGGTAAGTGCAGGGCCCACCCGGAGGCTGGGGGAGGGAGAAAAATGGTCCTACCGGAAGTCCAGAAACGGGCTTTTTTTTCGCCCACCTGGAGGCTCAAGGAAAGCCTCCGGAGCCTGGGGAGGGCGAAAAACGGGCCTACTGGAAGTCTGGAAACAAGGTCGTTTCCGGCCTCCGGAGTCCGGGGGAGGCTGTTTTTGCCCTCCCAGAGGCTCAAAGAAAGCCTCCGGAACTGAGGCGGGCGAAAATACCCGCTCCCCATCATGGTGCAGATGGTCGAGTAGGCCACGCCCCCATGGCCACGCCCACCCAGCAACCAGGCAGAGAACTGGTTGCTAAAATTTTTGAATCCCACCCCTGACCGTAGCAATTTGCATGCTTAATAAATTTGTGGGGTTTATTTGGAGTGGGGTGTGGATCTTCCAAGTGATTAATGGTTTTAAGCCGGCCAGGCTACCACAGGTTACCAGGAGGAAAGGTGATCCATAAATCTAACGGACAGTCACTTGGAATAAGTTACAGGCAAGGTGAAAATCCCTCACCTCTTCCCCGTCTTTAATTGGAACACTTTGTTCCACGTAGCACAATTAGAGCAGGCAAGAACCATTTGGCTGACGAATGAGAGAAGGGTGTTTTTTTGTTTTTTGTTTTTGAAGGCAGTCTGTAGAAACAGAAGTTTCACTCCCGCAAAAAGGACAGGGAAGTGTGCTTCAAGATGCATTTCTTAGCACCCGTCAGCTGGTGTTTTCTGGCAAAGGAACTCCCATAATCTTCAAGATGTTCAGATATGAGCTTTCATTTTAAAGCAGAGCAAAATACAAATATCTGAATGTTTGAAGGTTTTGGGTTGTTTTTTTTTTTTTTAAGGAGCTGGCTCTCAATAACTTAACGTCGTACCCGAGATCCTGATTTTTTTTTTAGTGGAAAACACCCATTTGCCAGTTCTCTTTTAAATCTCGGCGTGTTCCTTTTTGTTTCTCAACAAAACTGAAACAATCTCGACTGGAAAATGTGACAGCTTTTAACTCGGGCGTATTCATGCTTTTGATATTCTGGGCTCGTCATTGCAACCTGGACAATCATCATCATCGTTTAACGACTCCATAATCCCTTGCGGGGTGGAGTCTGGGCAACTGAACGGAGCTAGCAGAGTGTTTACTGCCCGGATGCCCTTCTTGTTGCCAATGCGGAGTTTTGTTCAGCAGATATATTCTCAATTGTGCCCAGAGAGAGAAATATCTGCCTCTACATAGGATCGAACTCACAGCCTCCTGATTGTGAGGTGAGAGCTCCACCTCTAGGCCGCCCCACCACTCCTCATTGCAGCCTGGACAATGACATTGTTTTTATGTCAGCTTTCTCCAATCCACAGTTTCCACTCAGATCAACACACTTTGTGTCCTTCCAGTATTGTCTAGGATTTTGTCTCATTGGGGAAGAAGATCATAAGTGACCACGAACATCTCTGGATCCCAATCTGTTTCTCAGTATTGATGCAGTGCTTGTGGCCCAGAGTTGTCATCTGGCTTGGGGAATTCTGGGAGTTGAAGTCCACACTTCTTAAAAATTGCTAAGGTTGAGAGACACTGTACTTGTCGAACCTTCCTGGTTCATCACTGATGTCCCCAAAGATGGGGTAGGGTAAGAGAAGACCCATTGGGGGTGGTGGGGGTTGAATGCCTGGCAAGCTCATGAAGACAGGGCTCTGAAATATTTTTGCCTGTCATTCCTTCAAGGATGGGTTGTCTTCCTTTCTTTTCTTTTTTCTTACTTTATATATTCCCTTCCACGGATTATTCCACAAAAGCTTTAAGAGGAAGGGTACTGCATTAATTTCCTTGCATCGATTTAGCCTGTTAATTGTTTTCGGTTGTGCATTAAATTATTACTAACCCTTTGGTCAGTATAGTGAAACCAGACTTCCCTTCCCTTCCTTTCCTTTCCTTTCACTTCCCTTCCTCATCCCTTCTTTTCACTTCCCTTCCTCACCCCTTCTCCTTCCCCTCTCTTCCTCTTCTCTTCCTCTTCTCTTCTCTTCTCTTCTCTTCTCTTCTCTTCTCTTCTCTTCTCTTCTCTTCTCTTCTCTTCTCTTCTCTTCTCTTCTCTTCCCTTCCCTTCCCTTCCCTTTCACTTCCCTTTCTCATCCCTTTCTCATCCCTTCCCCTTCCCTTCCTCATCCCTTCTCCTTCCTCATCCCTTCCTCCCCACTTCCCTTCCTCATCCCTTCTCCTTCCCCTCTCTTCCTCATCCCTTCCTCTTCTCTTCTCTTCTCTTCTCTTCTCTTCTCTTCTCTTCTCTTCTCTTCTCTTCTCTTCCCTTCCCTTCCCTTCCCTTCCCTTCCCTTCCCTTCCCTTCCTTTCTCATCCCTTCCCCTTCCCTTCCTCATCCCTCTCCTTCCTCATCCCTTCCTCCCCCCACCTTCCCTTCCTCCTTCCCCTCTCTTCCCCTCCTTCCTCATCCCTTCTCTTCTCTTCTCTTCTCTTCTCTTCTCTTCTCTTCTCTTCTCTTCTCTTCTCTTCTCTTCTCTTCTCTTCCCTTCCCTTCCCTTCCCTTTCACTTCCCTTTCTCATCCCTTTCTCATCCCTTCCCCTTCCCTTCCTCATCCCTTCTCCTTCCTCATCCCTTCCTCCCCACTTCCCTTCCTCATCCCTTCTCCTTCCCCTCTTTTCCTCTTCTCTTCTCTTCTCTTCTCTTCTCTTCTCTTCTCTTCTCTTCTCTTCTCCTCTCCTCTCCTCTCCTCTCCTCTCCTCTCCTCTCCTCTCCCTCTCCTCTCCTCTCCTCTCCTCTCCTCTCCTCCTCCTCTTCTCTTCTCTTCTCTTCTCTTCCCTTCCCTTCACTTCCCTTTCACTTCCCTTTCTCATCCCTTTCTCATCCCTTCCCCTTCCCTTCCTCATCCCTTCTCCTTCCCCATCCTTCCTAATACCTTCTTCTCTTCTCTTCTCTTCTCTTCTCTTCTCTTCTCTTCTCTTCTCTTCTCTTCTCTTCTCTTCTCTTCTCTTCCCTTCCCCTTCCCCTTCCCCTTCCCCTTCCCCTTCCCCTTCCCCTTCCCTTCCTCATCCCTTCTCCTTTCCTTGCCTTCATCGTCCCTTCCCTTCCTCATCCCTCACCTCTCTCTTTTTCTTCCTTTCCCTCTCCTTTTTTCTTTTCCCTTCCCTTGCCCTTGCCCTATCCTTCCCCTGATAATGATTTTAAGGTAATCTGAAGCAACAAGGTGGAAAGGAGTCATTATGAAACTTTGCTTACGTTCCATTTGATTCTGCATGCTTGAGTTCGTGCAACACATAAACCATGAATTACGGTTAGGAGACGGCACTACTAGCTTTGCAGAATGCACTGTCCAGAAACAAACTAAACACACATTATGCTTTGTTCTAACGGCCAGGTTTGTGCCACGCGCTCGGTGTATTTTCCTACACCTTGCCATTTTTCTTCTTCTTCCCTTACATCCACATGATTTGGCAGCAAATTGGAGAAGCTTTTCCACAGATTTTTGAGGCTGTTCTCCCTGACCTGAAGGGCCCCGAAGTTATTGGCTGACTCCGTTCTTTAATAAGGCTCCACTCACACTTGCCAAATAGCTCAACCCCGTGGCCCAAACCCAGCCATTAACATTCATGAGAAGTTAATTGCCTGGTCTTTAAACAGCCTCGGTCTCACTAGCAACCGAAAAGCAAATTCCAAAGCCATTCCAGAGCCGGAGGTCAAAATGCTGAGAAAATAGTCAGATCATATCTTGAACCCGAGGGGTTTTAGCTGAAGCATCTGGAAGCATCTGAAAAGACAGATAAGGAAAGTTTCGGAGTTGTGATACTGAGGTTCACGAGAAGGTTGGAGAACACACAGCCAAGATGTTAATAGAATAGAATAGAATAGAATAGAATAGAATAGAATAGAATAGAGAATAGAATAGAATAGAATAGAATAGAATAGAATAGAATAGAATAGAGGATAGGATAGGATAGGATAGGATAGGATAGAAAATAGAATAGAATAGAATAGAATAGAATAGAATAGAATAGAATAGAATAGAATAGAATAGAATAGAATAGAATAGAATAGAATTCTTTGTTGGCCAAGTGTGATTGGACACACAAGGAATTTGTCTTTGGTGCGTATGCTCTCAGTGTACATAAAAAGAGAAGATACATTCGTCAAGAATCATAAGGTACAACACTTAATGATAGTCATAGGGTACAAATAAGCAATCAAATCATATTAGGAAACAGTCAATATAAATCGTAAGAATACCAGCAACAAGGTTACAGTCATGCAGTCATAAGTGGGAGGAGATGAGTGATAGGAACGATGAGAAGACTAATAGTAATAGTAATGCAGACTTAGTGAATAGTTTGACAGTGTTGAGGGAACTATTTGTTTAGCGGAGTGATGGCGTTCGGGAAAAAAACTGTTCCTGTGTCTAGTTGTTCTGGTATGCAGTGCTC